AGGTACTAATTAGTACATTTTAGGTACATTTTTTTAGTAAGTGGTATAATTTAATTCGCGATGGTACACCCGCCATTTTGACTCTCACCCAGCCAGTTGCTCTCCGATCGACTACCCAGCAACACATATTTCATTATTTCTTACTAGCTGTTCCCGTGCGATTTCATTCGCATGAAATTATGAAAATTTTATTTTATTGTTTACATTTGTCAAATTATCAATTACAAATATCAAAATAACATGACATGATTACAACCTTGCTTCCTTGATGTTGGCAGCAACTTATGGTCTCTTTCCTATTAGGGTTTTTATCCATAATATTTACCCCCTAAGTTTAATAGGTTAAAATATATAGCCTAAAGCGTGACGCGATTGTAGAGCTTTTTATTAAAAAAAGGAATTATCCAAAAATATGCTGTAATTGCTGACATCTTAGGCAACAAAGAAGTGTGTTTACGCTTTATTATAATAGTATAGATTTGTACCTATTTGCCTAATTTCTATATATGATCCTGTCAACCATCCTACTAATTATTTACCAGCAAGATACTGTCCACTTAACAACCGGTTTCCCAAAGTATTCATTCACCATTAGAAAGCTACATTATCTCTGAATAACAGAATATATTTTTTAAAAGATTTTTAAACTTCCAACTGCAAAAAAAAATTATTGAATGAAGGTAATTATACTAAGTTTAATTTACAATCGAATGTACATACGATTAATATTTTATATATATATAATGAATTAAATATATTGGGTTCTGGCAGATTTTACTGAAGAGACACTGTCCAGTTAAAAGTGTAGCAAAACTTCTGTACATGTCTGTCCCATTACTGGCTGATAGAGGCTCAGATAGCTTATAACGTCACTGTCAGATAAAAGAACAACGATATTTCAATCACATATTTTACACATTGGATTGTTAAATTCTACCGACACTAAGGGCCTGTCCCATTACTGGCTGATAGAGGCTCAGATAGCTTATAACGTCACTGTCAGATAAAAGAATAACGATATTTCAATCACATATTTTACACATTGGATTGTTAATTTCTACCGACACTAAGGACCTGTCCCATCACTGGCTGATAAAGGCTCAGATAGCTTAAAAATGACGTCACTGTCAATAGCAAGCGCCTATCTGTTCTGCATTTCAACGTTTAGTTCAGTCTTTGGTGGGACAGGCCCTTAATGTTGCTTTGACTCGAAGTTTTAATAAAACAGTTAACTACCGTTAAAACTATCAGAATTAAGTAGATAACTTAATAAATTTCAAATATAGTAAATACATTAAAAATCAATATAACAAATTTTTGGTATAATTATTAAAAACTAAAACTGATTGATTCGACAAAATGATATAATAAATGTGAAAGTTTGTATGGATGGATGTTACGTATCTCGTAAACTGTTTAACAAGTCTTAATTGTCACTTATGTAGAATAGTCCGCATAAACGAGACCTAATCGCCTCACTCGTGTTAAAGACGTAATGTAACCTCCGTCATAACTCCGCATAAAGCGGAGGCAATAAATCCTAATAAATCCGCTTTATGCGATGTTATAACGGAGGATTTATTGCGGAAATTCCGCATTTGCGGATGCGGAAGCAGAGTTCCGTTACAACCCTAATCGAAAGGTGTGCACGCAGTTGTATTGTCATGTAATAAAATTACTAAACCATAATAAGCACCATCTTTTGTTAAACAAGTCACAAAATAATTTAAATATGATATAGTGACATCTATCGGCGACTAATTCAAATACAATAAAATTTATTGACGTTTTGAAGATCTATCGATAGATAGCGTTGATGTAAAAAAATGCTTCCTCTCTCTCCCTCTATGTATTTTTTAAATCTTTTTGGCTTTAAATGTACAGATTTACAAGGATCCGGTAGAGAAGGTAAGGAGTAAAAGAGCATGGTATGGTCATATGTGGAATGAATCGTGTAACAAGAACGTTAGTTATGCATGAGGTACACCGGTTGAGGTAGACAGAGAGGTGTGAAAGGTGATGGAGTAACTATGATGGATGATAGTTATTTGGAGGAAGAAAACCAGGAGATGATCCTACGGAAGTAGGATAAGGTAGGGGAGGTGAATTTTGAATTTGAGTTACCATTCTTGAGAAACTTATATTTTTCAAGATTTGATTTTGACATGTTCCTTTTTTGACCGACTTCCCAAAAGGCGGTACACAATTCTATATGTTTTTTTTTTCTGTGTTACGGAATAACTCCGCCGCTAGTTGACCGATTTTGATAATTCTTTTTTTATCCGAAAGGTGCTTGCAGGTGGGTCCCACTTTTTTGTTTGATTTTTGGAGTCAAAGACTACGACGTAGCTAATTAATATGTCAATTATAGAAACACGAACAAAGATTTTTTTTTTACTTCGTAAGCAAATACCATCGTCATCCACTTGCACTTATCCCTTACGGAGGGTCGGCACAGTATGTGCTCTTCCATACATCTCTATCAGTCATATCTGAATCCACTCCTTTCTTAAGCATATCCTCTTTCACACAATCCATCCATACTTTCTTCGGTCTTCCTCTTCCTTTGTAGCCGATTCAATTCACCATGGACCCATTTCTTAACCGGTAAGCAAATTCCTAACTTTCTTTCTCTCATATTAAAAACAAAATTACATGCAAATATTTCTCAAAATCGAATTTAATTGTAAACATGTCGACGTTCCGTGGTTTGGTCAAACTGACAACTCCACCATAAAATGTAATTCCCTATAGATATTTTTTAAATATATTTTCAATCAGAAGACTACTATAAGCCAGAAATCTTCAATTATACATATTAATGAAGTTTTATTTAATATACTAATGTTCTAACATCAATTGTGTGTCTAAATAATTTAGATTAGTTTGACAATTCATTTCAAATTTAGTAGGGATGGGTTGTGTAAAATCAGTCATGAATCTTATTGATTTTCGATTTTTATTCTTATAGAAGTTGGAATCGATAGATTTATAGTTATAACTTATCAATTAAAAAACCACCATTTTCTCAAATTAATAATGACCATAACAAATAATGAGAGTAAATAAATGTTTATTACTATTACAGCCGTACGTAATCGAATTGGATTTCACTATTATTTCTGTCATCGCTAAATTCTCTACACTATAATCAATACTAGAATTGTCCTCTAAATTAGTTAATAAGAAAATAATAATTTTAGTCGAGTACGATAATTATTTAAACCGAATATCGATAGTTCATAATTGTTCGCTGCATGTTTCGTCACTACGATACCTGTCTATTAAGTACGGCATTTGCCTTCATACAAATTGAATTCGATACTTCATGTGTCATTTATCAAACTAATCTATCTTATTTAGACACACTATTAGTCACATTTCACTGTTAATGTCAAATATTATGCAATTGATTGACAACATCACAACAATCACTGACAGTTCTACACTTCACTCTATGGTCACTATTGTCACTATGGTCGTTCTGGTCACAATGTTGTGTCACACTATGGTTGCTGTAGTCCCACTATGGTCATTGTAGTCACAATGTGGTAGTTCTGATCACACTGTGTTATTCGGACTGTGGTAACCGAAGACACGCTTCTCAGTTACCTAATAACCGCATATTGTAGTCTTATGCTCCCAATGTGGTGGTTGTGATCACAATATGGTAGTTCTAGTTAAACTGTGGTCATTATTGTCACACTGTGTTGGTAATAGTAACATGTAGCGGTAGCTACACTCCACAGAGTTACTTTGAGACCCTATAGCGTATTTTCTGTAGTCATAATATGGCTGATGTAAGCACAATATGGTTGTTCTGGTCACTGTGGTTGTTGTAATAACACTGTGGTATTCTGGTGACACCATGGTCGTTGAAATCACACTGCTTGTGATCACACTCCGGTAGTTCTTGTCACACCATGGTCTTGGTCACAATTTAGTTCCGGTCACACCATGGTCTTTGTAATGACACTGTGGTCGTAATCACGTGGTAGTTCTGGTCACACTGTGGTCGTTGTGACAGGTCTCATCTTGTGCACTAGCCGCGAGTGCGTGTAGAGAGCCGGTCGTTGTTTGAACGTGTCCCCGCAGTCCTCGCACATGTAGCTCCGTTCCTCAGAATGTGTCAATTGATGACCACGTAAAGTTGATTGAGTCTGGAAAAAAATATTATGATATTTTAATCAAACATCTTACGAATAACATATACTAGTTTTCGCCCGCGACTCTCTTCGCGTGGAATTAAAAAAAAATGTAGCCTTCTAGACTATCCTCTACATCTATACCAAATTTCATTGAAATCTGTTCAGCCGTTAAGGCTAAAAACGCTAACAAACATCCATCCATCCATCTAAACTTTCGCATTTATAATATTACTATGAAGTAAGACCTATACTAATACTAATCTATCATCACCAGCTCACTTTATCTCCACTAAGAGGAGCCCTAAGAGTGACTAGGACATAGTCAACTGCGACTTCACACATATCTTTGAATTTTTTCACATCTGTGAATCATATCAAGCATATCTATGCTTCACAATGTTAAGTAAATGTACATATGAAATTCGAAAATCACAGGTACAGGTGGATTCGAACCTAAGACGTTTAGATTACAAGTCAAGTGCACGAACCACTGGGCCACCGACGCTTATAATCCGACTCGAAAACTAATCTATACTATTATAATAAAGCGTAAACACACACTTCTTTGTTGCCTAAGATATCAGCAATTACACCATATTTTTGAATAATACTTATTTAATAAAAGGCCCTACACTTACGTCACGCTTTAGGCTATATATTTCACGCCGTTAAACTTAGAGCGTAAATATCTTGGATAAAAACCCTAATGTGGGAAAGAGACCATAAGTTGCTGCCAACATCAAGGAAGCAAGATTGCCATGGTTTGTCATCATGTCATGTCATTTTGACATTTGCAATTGATAATTTGACACATGTAAACAATGAAATAATTTTATGATTATGAAATTGCACGGGAATGGAGAGTCTATACTAATAAAACAAAGAGGAAAGATTTATATTTTTGTAAGAATCGAAATAACTCAAAAACTACTGGGATTATTTCCAAAATTCTTTCACCATTAAAAAGCTACAATATCAGTGAGTGAGTGAGGCTATGTTTTTTTTATATTTTTTTAAATTTCAAACTAATCGCAGTAAATGAAATGTTATACTTACATAGAATTTCTTTCCGCATATATTACAAGTGTGGTTTCTATTTCTTGTTACACCATGTTGGGTCTGTCTGTGATTTTTCAATCTCCAATCAGAAATAAACAACTAGAATAAATTTCATAATAAACTATCTAAATCTATACTAAATTAACAGCCTTATAAATAAACGCGATATAAAAAGGAATAAACTGATTATAAGCAAAATGAGTACAGTAGAACCTCAATAACTTCAAAAAATAATATGTTCCCTTCCCATCAGAGCTCAAAACCTCTACAAAGACCCTTGATAACTTAAAACCTCTATAACTTAAAATATTTTGTGTTTCCCTTGAACTTTAACTTATCGAGTTTCTACTATACTATTTGCTTATACTCGGTTTATTCCTAAGTTTTTATACCGCGTTTATTTATAAAGCTGTTCTTATATTAGTATAGATATAAAACAGTATGAAAGAACACAAACTTTTATTTTAATTAACAACAAAGTAACACATAAATAAAGTGGTAGAGCCCGCTTTAACATCTTTGCACTGTAGGGCTCTCAGCAATACCACGACCACACAGACAGGCGTCAAGTGGAAACAATTCCGCGTACATTAATAAGTGTGGTGCCGGAGGCCTAATTATAATCCCTTTCCCTTTTCTTAAAAGGAATGGATGGGAAGGAAAAGTGTATTTGACGGTGGAGACGCATAGGAAGGGGAAATGTCCTCTTTATGTGCGTCTCCTCCGGAAGAAGCGGTCTGAATCCACCGAAATGGAAAGCAGCCGCTGCCCATAAACATCTGCAATTGCAGCGCTGCCTACCCTTCATTGACGGAGACGCACATAAAGAGGACATTTCCCCTTCCTATGCATCTCCTCTACAGTCAAATCCACTTTTACTTCACATCGTTTCCTCTTAAAAAAGGGTGGAATAGGAAAAGAATTAAAATTAGGCCTCCGGCACACTCATCAGTACATGAAATTGCTTCCATTTGACGCCTGTCTGTGTGGTCGTGGTATTGCTGAGAGCCCTACAGTGCGAAAATGTTAAAGCGGACTCTACCACTGTAAATAGCTAGTATGAAAAACCTTACCTTATTGCATATTTCACATTTAAATTGTGATTTTTGTAAATGATAGAACTCCCAATGTTTCCTCCAATATACTTTTGATGCGAATTTCTTTTTACATTCCTTACACTCATATCTGAAAAGAAAAAATATCTATACTAATATTATAAATGCGAAAGTTTAGATGGATGTTTGTTAGTTTGTAGCCTAAACGGCTGAACGGATCTCCATGAAATTTGGCATGTTTAGAGCATAGTCTGGAACACATAGGCTATCCCGGGAATAGTTAGTTCCCGTGGGATTCATTAATTTAGTTTTTTAATGTTCACTCGATCATTCTGCAACGGTTCAACATATCTTATTGAAATTTGTCACAGATATAAAACAAAGTGTGGAGTACACATAAAGGTTCATCTCCGATAAATGTCCGGTTTTTGAGGGATACGTTCTGTTATTTATATAGTTCGTATGTGTTCTAATACGCGGACGAAGTCGCGGGCAACAGCTATTTATATTATAAAGAGGAAAGATTTGTATTTTAATATTTATTGAAATAACTCAATAAAACTATTTGACTTCAAAAATTCTTTCACTAACAAATCTCTTCCAAATATGGGTTGTTTTTTAATATTTTTTTTAATTCCAAAAGTACAAATCTATACAGATATTATTAAAAGGAAAGATTTGTATCTTTGTATTTTTATATGTATTGTAATAACTCAAAAAACTATTGCACCAATTTAAAAAAAAAATTAATATTAAGAAGTTACATTATCAGTGAGTAAGAAATATTTTTAATTTTTAAATTTTCCGTAGACGAAGTCGCAAGCAACAGCTAGTGATAAACAAAGATGTTTTTATATAATTTAGTAAGAAATGAGCAAACGGTCACATGAATTCGCCAAAAGAGCGAAGCAATTGCCAATAGATAATTAAATACAGATGCATTGCAATAATAAGTATATTTAGAAGGGACAAAGAAAGGGGAAATATTGCGTCTATCCTCAATTAAAAGTAAATTACAATAAAATGCGTGTCCAAGGCGTTGTTTCGCCATTTTGGCGAATTCCTATAGTCGCTATAAATCTTACTAATATTATGAATATGTATATTTAGATGGATGTTTGTTTCTTTGTATCCTAAACTGAACGGATCTCGATGATTGTCATACATGTAGGGGATAGTATGGAACACATACACTACTAAGGGCCTGTCACACCAAATTGTAAATTGTCATAACAATCCGTGTAAAATATGTGATGTAAATATCGTTGTTCCCTTATCTGAGTGACGTTATAAGCTATCTGAGCCTCTATCAGCCAGTGATGGGACACGCCCTTAGTATCGGTAGAATTTAACAATCCAACGTGTAAAATATGTGATGAAAATATCGTTGTTCTTTTATCTGACAGTGACGTTATAAGCTATCTGAGCCTCTATCAGCCAGTTGTGGGACAACGCCTTATTGTTATTTTTATAATTCCACGATTCCCGGACAAAAGCTAGTCTTACTTAAATGCGAAAGTTTAGATGGATGTTTGTTTGTAGCCTAAACTGCTGAACGGATTCCGATGAAATTTGACATATCTGAAACACATAGGCTATTTACTTTTTTAACGCTGGCAGAGTCACAGGCGAAAGCTAAAGATAAATAGACAAACTTACGTTCTCTCCGAATGATTTGCACTGTTTTTCAAATGATTTCTGAACACATATATATTTTTATATTGCACATTACAAGTTGTACAAAATGACAGTTTTCTAGCCAATGTACTATTATGAGTCACAATATGAGATTCCAAACGAGATTTAGTTTTAAACGATTTTTCACATATATCACATTTATATTCACGTTTCACTGCATGTATACGTCTGAAAACAAAACATATAAATATTATAAACGAGATGTTGCCCGCGACTTCGTCCGCGTGGTATTAGAAAACATACGAACTATATTAATTACAAAAAGCTACGTATCCCGGGAACCGGACATCTCTCTGGGATGAACCTTATCTCATGTGTACTCCACACTTTGTTTTATATCTGTGACAAAATTCAATAAGATATGTTGAACCGTTGCAGAATGATCGAGTAAACATTACAAAACTAAATTAATGAATCCCACAGAAACCGTAACTATTCCCGGGATAAAAAGCCTATGTGTTCCAGACTATGCTCTAAACCTGTGCCAAATTTCATGGAGATCCGTTCAGCTGTTTAGGCTACAAACATTAACATACATCTAAACTTTCGCATTTATAATATTAGTAAGATGAGAAAGTTTAGATGGATGTTTGTTAGTTTGTAGCCTAAACTGCTGAATGGATTCCGATGAAATTTGGCACAGGTTTAGAGTATAGTCTGGAACACATAGGCTTTTTATCCCTGAATAGTTAGTTCCCGTGGGATTAATTTAGTTTTTTAATGTTTACTCGATCATTCTGCAACGGTTCATCATATCTTATTGAGATGTGTCACAGATATAAAACAAAGTGTGGAGTACACATGGGATAAGCTTCATCTCAGAGAAATGTCCGGTTCCCGGGATAGGTAGCTTTTTGTTATTTATATAGTTCGTATGTTTTCTAATACCACGCAAAGTCGCGGGCAATAGCAAATCTAATATTTTAAATGCGAAAGTTTAGATGGATGTTTGTTAGTTTGTAGCCTAAACTGCTGAACGGATCTCAATGTAATTTGGTATAGATGTAGAGGATAGTCTGGAAGAACACATAGGCTAGTTGATTTAGTTTTTTTTAAATTCCATGCCGATAGCAGCTAGTATTAGTATGAAAATACTTACATTTGATGTGTTCTTAATGTATTTTTGCCTTTAAATTTATCTCCACATTCTTTGCATTGTAAGAAATGTTGACTTTGTACATGTTTAGACATCTCTTCTGGGTTTCTGAAATACAATATCGCTGATGTAAAGAGTTTTTTTATATACAATAAGGTGGCAAATGAGCAAGCGGCCTGAATCCACCAAAATGGCCAAGCGACAACCCATAGACATCCGCAATTGCAGCGCTGCCTACCCTTCATTGACGGAGACACATATAAAGAGGACATTTCCCCTTCCTATGCATCTCCACAGTCAAATAAACTTATCCTTTCCATCCTTTCCTCTTAAGAAAATTGTGGAAAGGTAAAGGGACTGAAATTAGTCCTCCGGCAACTCATCAGTGTACATGGAATTGCTTCCACTTCCCGCCTGTCTGTGTGGTCGTGGTATTGCGTAGAGCCCTACAATGCAAAGATGTTAAAGCGGGCTCTACCACTAATACCTGTTATACCTTTTCTTGTTAGTGTATCTGTAGAGATACATCAGTTTTTTTTTTAGACACCTTCAATCAAGTTAAGTGCTATGAATATTATTTTTGATATTCGAAAAAATAAAACTCTGCCAAGTTAAGGACCACTCACCTCGCAATAAAACTGCATTTCTTACAATGTATTTGTCCTTCTGCATCATTATTGTGTTTCAATCTTGAATGATTGACCATAGACCATAGTTCTAATGTCTCATAATCACAGAGTTTGCATTTATACACTACATAATGCTTCTTACGATGTTTGTCCAATGCTTTTATATTAGTAAAACGAGATTCACATATATTGCATATGTTTATTCCGATATTCTGGAAAGAAAAAAAAAATTAACAATAGCTGGAGGCCTAATTTTAGTCCCTACCTCTTTCCACTTCTTAAGAGGAACGGATGGGAAAGAAAAGTGGAATTGACGATGGAGGAGATGCATGTCTTCTTTAGGGTAGGCAACGCTGCAATTGCGGATGTTTGTGCAGCGGTCGCTTTCCATTTCGGTGGATTCACGCCGCTTGCTTGTTTGTCATCTTATATTATAAAAAAAAAAACTATCTTTCGCCCACGATGTCTGCGGCATTAAAATCAAGTACCCTATGTGTTAGATTATCCTCAAGATAATGATAGAGATCCATTCAGTTTTCAACAAACATCTAAACTAAATATTCAAAATATATTTTCAGTAAACTTAGTTATACACATGATACTTTTTCCACATGATTTTCAAAGCCACGTCATTATAATTGTAACAAAATTAATTACCAATAGGTGTCATTATCTATCTATCTCTCTCTCTCCCTCTCTCTCTCTCTCTCCCTCCCTTCGGTTTCCTCACTCCTGAGGGTCGCGACCACTCTCCTTGACATCATTATACTAATATTATAAATGCGAAAGTTTAGATTGATGGATGGAGTTTGTAGCCTAAACGGCTTAAAAGGTTAGCATGGGGCATGTTATAAGAAGGGATGAATCACGTGAAATAAGACCGTTAGTTATGAGTGTGGAGGTACACCGGTAGAGGTAGACATAGAAAGAGATGAATGTATTGCGTGAAAGGTGACATGGTCAAGAAGGGAGTGATGACTGCGATGACGGATGATAGGTATAGATTATAAAAACTTACCTCGTCATGTCGTTTCTCTACATGTAAATCATAGTTTTCCTTCCTTGTAAAACCCAATACACAAGAATCACATTTGTAGATTATCTTTTTGTAATTAGGTTGATTTCTTTTTTCCTCTCTATTCTTTAACATTTCCTCTTCCGTAAACACTATCTTTGTGTATTTACCCCTCACTTGTGATTCAACTCCTTTTTGGTTGAACAATTCCTTTTTGGTTACCTTTTTTGTTGAACTATTTTTTTCATCTTTATTTACTTCAATATCGTTTATTTCAGTTTTAATATCATCTAATGGATCTGTGTGTAATATTTCTAGATCATACGTATATTTAGTGTTACATGATAATCTGCTTAATGATTGAAAATCCTTATGCTGTTGAAATATCAAATTAAATACTTAATCTTCATCTTTTAGTACCCATTTTGTTGAAACTTTTATTGTTCAACAATATAAGTGATGTAACATAAATGGTTTTGTTTCAATTATAAATGGGAAGGTAATTTAATTCTTTGAATATTTTGGATTACATACATAACATTAAAACCATATATTTAATAGTTACAAGGTTTTTATGGATATAAATAATTCCATGAACATTCAACTTAAAGGGTTAGAAGTTTACATAGAGAATAAAATCCAAACTGAACATTTCCTTTGATCGGAGACTTAATTTCGATATGAATTCAGATCGTAAAAAACGCTTATAGGTACCGTTGCTATTTCCATCAACGCGTCCTGCGCTTTGATAACTTGCAGTTTAAATTTCTTTATTTTCATAATAAATGTCTTGCATTCCCAGCACACACCGGTGGTCACATCTGTCTGAAACAAATATATAAACATCCATATGAAATTCACAATTGCAAATGTCAAAATTCAAATGCACAGACAGCAAAGGCCTTTGACATTGGATAACAACATTACCAGCAAGCTTGCTTCTTTGACGTCAGCTAGTTTTTGTCTCCCAGATAAAGGTTTTTTCAATTTATTTTTTAAGTTTCATCATCAACTTGCCCTTATCCCTTATGAAGGGTCGGCACAGTATGTACTGCTCCACACATCTCTATCAGCCATATCTGAATCCACTCCTTTCTTAAGCACATCCTCTTTCACACAGTCCATCCATACTTTCATCGGTCTTCCTCTTCCTTTGTAGCCACATTCATTCTTAACACTTTCTGGTTTATGTCCCCACTTTATGGTTATTTACTCCCTAAGTTAAATAGTTTGTCGTAAGTGTAGGCCTTTGTATCAGAAAGGAAGGAATTATTCAAAAATATGCTGTGATTGCTGACATTTCACATCACAAATTTGTGTTTACACTTAATTACATTAGTATAGAAGTATAGATATATATAACAACACATTTTCACTTTATTAAACTTAGGTAGTAAGTAATTTAGAAGAAATAGTCAAGCGGGAAAGAGTCAAAACCTACAAGCTGACATTAAGGAAGCAAGATTGCTTATAAAAGTAAATGTCAAAAGGCCTCATATAAGGATGCATGAACTGAACACATTCATTGTGTTCACACATTAAGAACACAACAAGAACTTTATCTGACATAGATTTACATGTGTACTAACATATAGCTGAGCAGAGGCCCTATCAGTTCTGCATTACAACACATGGTTAGAATGTCTAATATGTTTAGTGTTTGTTTTTTTTTTCTCTTGGCAATTTGTTTTTGTCATCAGTTATTAGTTTTGATAATAAATAGTTAATGTCTTTTTTTCATTTGTATTTTGTATTTTATGTTCAAGTGTATATATTATGTTGCAATGTGTTTTTGAGCTGAATAAATATTTATTATTATTATTTAACTAGTGATACCCAGATTAAAATCAACAAAGATTTAAAAATATTGGGTTGTTCGGAAAGTAATTTCGTTTTTTTCCCGAAAATAAATTCACGCTTAAGCCACATAACCATTATATGTCTTGAGAGCTGTTATTGCAAGGCAATTTCTATTAATTCTACAAAGTAGTTTTTGGTTGGTGCCCTTTTAAATATGGAGACCAATAAGCAGCATTTTTGTCATATTTTACTTCAAATGCTGTCCAAGCGAGAAATAAATTGACAGATGTGTATGGAGAAGACGTGTTAACAGTACACCAGTGCCAAAACTGGTTTGCAAAATTTCGATCCGGCAATTTTGATGTCGAAGATGCACCACGGTCTGGAAGGCCGGTCAAAGCTGACAAAGATGCGTTAAAGCATTGGTTGATGCAAATCGGCAGATAACCACACGAGAGATCGGTGAAAAATTAAATTTGTCGAATTCGACTTGTAATTCGAAATGTTATGTTCATAAACTGTCTTTAAAAAAAAACGAAATGACTTTCCGAACAAGCTATTATATATAAATAAGGTGAACAATAGGCTTCAATTACACCACTCACTGCTATCTAATTAGGTTTTTGTCTTATTGCAATGAACAAGGCAATTTTTCCTGAATTGGACCAAGGATGTCCACAACTGTACATAATAATCTCTACATCGCCACTGATGGTCGGAGCCTGCATTTTTTTTATAATATAAGGTAGCAAACGAGCAAGCGGCCACCTGAATCCACCGAAATGTAAATGAGCACTGACTACAAACATCCGCAATTGCAGATGCATGCCTACCCTTCATTGACAGAGGAGACGCACTTAAAGAGGACATTTCCCCTTCCTATGCGTCTCCTCCACCATCAAATCCACTTTTCCTCCCCATCCTTTCCTTTTAAGGAAAGGGAAAGGGACTAAAATTAGGCCTCCGGTACCTTATATTAGGGATGATTAGGCCAATCATCAGCTAGCCCACTGTGGGTAAACTTGACACATATTAATTTGGGTAGAGGTGGGCAGAGTATGCAGACTACCTTCAAATTGTCGCAGCCCTAGCACAACTCACGTCAATATTCAATGTACTCATGGGCGTTGCCAGACGTTGAGGGTAATTACTCCCCTATGCAATTGTAAAAATTAAAATGGAAATAGAAAAATCTTTATGAAAGCTAGCAACCTTCTTAGCAAACCCTTAGCCTTACGCTGAAGAGAGCAAGCCTAAATCATTTCAACACTTGTATCCGCCATATTTGATATTGATTACCAATCGATATTGTATTTTTGGAAGGTGATGTATTTGCAACTTACCTTAATAGGAATTCCCAGTTCATTTAACGTTGATGTCAATTTTCGTAGCGGGTAAAGGAAACGGCCCCGTACAAGACAAGTCTGGCACATATCCGAAGATTCCTCCTCCTCCATTTTTAAAACACTAAACAATAAAACGTTCCGAACAAGTTAAAACTAATAAAAAAACATTAAAACCTATAGACTTTATAGTCTTATGATAAATGTACAAGGTTTTTTAACAATCTAGTTTAGACAAATCAGTACGGCAATAAATTATCGACTTTTCACCATTTTGAATGCGTATCAGTGTTGCCAATTAAATTTTTTACATAAAACCAAAGAGCGTATAAAAAAAACTAGTGAAACCATGACCAAATCAAAGCCAATAAGCAAAATAAAGGCGAAAAAACAGCCTTTGTAAATGTCTGTATTTTTTTCATTATTGATTTTGATGACCGAATGAAAAACCAATGTTTTCTTATTTTTATAGTTTGTTTAAATTAGATTTAAGTTTAATTTATGACAGCACCTTAGATCTTTTAGATATGCGTAGTTTTGTAACTTGGGAAAAAAATTCCCACTATCATATCTTTTAGATTAATTACAACCACGCTTATTAAATTGATTGGACGTGGATTGATAACATTGTTTTCGCACGATCCCGATTCCGATTGTTAGATATTTCGACACAAATGACTTCCTTTAAAATATAGTCAGACCGCCATATTAGCAATATGATCTAATTTGGTTCTCTGTCGAATCATGTCGTTCCGGTTTTTCTCCATTAGAGAAACACCGAGCATAGTCCTCGCCATTGCCCGCTGTGCGAGAATTTAATAAATTGCTTTCTCAGTGATTGCTTTTAATAATTTAATCAACTTCCTTCAGTTATGTTGGGGGTTTTTTAGACAAAGACAATGATAACAAGGTGATTTTAAACGTGTCCAGATCATCGAAACTTATGATGGTAAATTTAACACAAACCGTAAAAATCGAATAAAAAATATATTTTAGTCTTTGATATGCCATTGCTCTGTTTAAATGGATAGGTTTTTGATTTGTAATGAAAACTTTTGATTTATTCTGACTAAGTTTCGACTGTTAATTTTACCGACATACAACTTTCTTTGATATATTATTTCGTATTAACACCACTGCTACCAACTGTTACTGTCATCGCTGAAATGGTGAAAATGAAATCGGTGCAGTAACTTTACAGCTTATCCATTTTTTGAAGATCAGTGTTGCTATTCCGTCTTTTTATCTATGGGCGGATAATTTTCATTTTCGTTGTTTTTTCAATATTTGTCATGAAAGATAACTTTTGATAAGAGATTAAAGGTGTACAAGTTTTAGCTAATATTCAAGCAAATTCATGGTAAGCAGTATAAGGGTATTCTTAACTGGTTAATACTAATATTATTAAAGTATATTTTACAAACACTACTGTATTTTCTCCTATTCTTGATATGTCATCAAGGAAATGTAGTTCCTTTGTGTTGAATTTTCATATATCAGTCCTTATCACTTTTGTATAATATTCTAAACATAACATTTTACATTTTAAAATGTATTTCAATCTTTGTACTTATAGAATACTACATTATGATTGTTTGTTCTGTCTATATCGAAATACTTCGTCGGTGCGATATTTAAAAAAGTTACTTATGCCTTCATTACTATGTTCTACATCAGTGACCTTTGGAGATCCATACACAAACAGCCATCCATGATTTTTTTAACTTTATATGCAATTTTTAAAACTTCAATCAAATGTAAGAAAATCAATTTACTCATTTCAAATTTCTAACTATATTTTTTATTTATTTACACTCCCGTAGGACGCACCGGGTTTTCGTCCTCCAGATAACTATTAGTCTTGGGTAGTACATGTACGATGTACTAAAAAGTAATGTTACTCGGCACTGTAATAACATATGTTTGACCATGCTTAAAATTTGATATATTCTATTCATGTATTGTGTTTTCACAAACCTGAAGTACTAAAGGTACTAAAAGTGTGTACTAGTACATTTTCCCAAATGTCCGATTAAGCCCAAGACTAATAACTATCATCCGTCATCTCAGTCACTCCCTTTTTGATCATGTCACCTTTTACGCAATACATCTCTTTTCGTCTACCTCTACCGGTGTACCACACTCATAACTAATGTCCTGTGATTCCTCTCTTATATCATGCCCCCTTTTACTCCTCATTTTCTCAACCACTTTTTATTTATTTACAGTTTTATTAAACAACTAAAATGGATGATATATCTAAATATTTGATACCCCTGGATGAGCTTGATATGTCTTTATTATTACTAGATAATGTTTGTTTAAAAACCGGACAGAAAATTATAAGAAAAACCAATTATATTGATAAGAGATATTCAGAAAGTGGCGTTGATAAGGATACAGGTAATATTTATGAATTACTAGCTTTCACCCGCGACTGCGTCCGCGCGGAATTAAAAAAAAAAGTGAGTAGCCTATGTTCTTCTAGACTATCCTCTTCATCTATGTCAAATTTTATCGAGATTCCTTCAGCCGTTTAGGCTACAAACTCTAACAAACATCCATCCATCTAAACTTTCGCATTTATAATATTAGTAAGACTAGCTGTTCCCGTGTGACTTCCGCATGAAATTATTTTATTTTATTGTTTACATCTGTCAAATTACAATTACAAATGTCAAAATGACATGTGGTGACAAACCTTAGCAATATTTCTGTCTTAATGTTGGCAGCAATTTATGATCTCTTTCCCACATTAGGGTTTTTATCCAAAATATTTACCCCCTAAGTTTAATGGTGTTAAAATATATAGCCTAAAGTGTGATGCAAGTGTTGAGTTTTTTATTGAAAAAAAGAATTATTCAAAAATATTTAATTGCTGACATGTTAGGCAACAAAGAAGTGTGTGTTTACTCTTTATATGATTTCAAATACAAAACAGATCTTTATATATGTTTCCGATAGGTATAATATATTTCAGATATGTTTGCTGATGTAGGATTAACAAAAAGATGTTCCATATGTGAAATAGAAGTACCCAAAGAATATATGAAAAATCACATAGAAAGTGACAAGCATAAGATGTATTTGAATATCACAAACACAGCTATAAATAGATGTAAAAAACAAATCAAAGTAATTAATTTTAATCCATACAAATATGAGGAATCTTCATTTTTTTGTGAAACATGCGTTACAGTTATATCTATTGGTGATAAATCTGAACATTTAAAAACGGAATCTCATCAAAATGCCGTTAAAAAAGATTTAAAAATGAAAAAACTGATTGATTTTTATAATAATATCTCTGATGAAAATCCGGTATTTCAAAATCATGAAATAAATGAAACAAAGAGTAAAGAAGAAATAAACACAATTGTACCTAAAACATTTGATAATATAATAGCAATAAAAGGAGAGCATTTAGTTATAAAAATAGATAATTATCTAATAAAAATGTTAACAGACAGTTACAATGGAATCATGTTAACGGCAAAACACAGATATAAATGTATATTCTGCAACGACACATTTAAAAAGAAAACGAAACATATTAATTTACAGAAACATGTAAAGAAAATAACTCCAATACAAGATATTAATTGTATAAGAAATGTGAGTTTGTTATTCATTTAATACTAGCTGTTCCCGTGCGGCTTCATCCGCATGAAATTATGAAAATTTTATTTTATTGTTGACATCTGTCAAATTATCAATAGCAAATGTCAAAATGACATGACAAGACAAACCTTAGCAATATTTCTTTCTTGATGGTGGCAGCAACTTATGATCTCTTTCCCACATTAGGGTTTTTATCCAAAATATTTACCCCCTAAGTTTAATAGTGTGAAAATATATCGCCTAAAGTGTAGGGCTTTTTATTAAAAAAAGAGTTATTCAAAAATATGCTGTAATTGTGACATCTTGGGCAACAAAGAAGCGCCGGCGTCCAAAAACACGCTGTTTATTAATAGTTCCTAAACATTAGTAATAATAAAATATAGTCTATGTTACTCACAGATAAATTGCCTTTTTAATGGTGCAAGAATTTTTAAAATCGTCCCAGTAGTTTTGGAGTTACTTCAATAAATACAAATTTTTTAAATTTGGGTTTTATCACCATACATTTGTCTTATGTTAAAATATATCGGTTTTAAATTGGATTGTGGAATTAAATACACAGATCTATGGAAAACTTCGTTTTTATTTCTAAAAACATGTCGCAGGAAGTGTTGGAAAAATTTTAAAAAAAATTTAATGACTGAGTTGAAAAAGTTTTTTCTAAGTTTTTAAAAATGGTTTTATTATAGTTAGTTATATTAATCGAATATATTGCAGTTGGAAACGGCTAAAAAGCATTGCATTTTATGCAATAAATTACTAGACAATTATAATCATATTGAAGATACAGAACATAAAGACAGATTAAAAAATGCAATTCTAACAGATTATGAAAACGTAGAACATGAAACGGAAGTAATCAAGACAGAAGAAATAAAAGATGTTAGGAACAGAAAGAAGTATAAATGAATTTGAAAATTGATGTTTTATGAATTACTTTACCTTTGGCCGAACTATCGCACAACTGTTTAGTCTTTGATTCTTATAGTGTGTCTAAATAAGATAGATTAGTTTGACAATTTAGTAGGGATGGGTTGTGTAAAATCAGTCATCAATCTTATCGATTTTCGATTTTTATTCTTAAAGTTGGAATCGATAGATTTATAATTATAACTTATGAAATAAAAAACACTGTTTTCTCAAATTAATAATGACCATAACAAAAAATGAGAGTAAATAAATGTTTATTACTACTACAACCGTACGTAATCGAATTGGACTTCGCTATTATTTCTGTCATCGCTAAATTCTCTACACTATAATCAATACTAGAATTGTCCTCTAAATTAGTTAATAAGAAAATAATAATTTCAGTTGAGTTCGATAATTATTTAAACCGAATATCGATAGTTCATAATTGTTCGCTGCGTGTTTCACTACCATACCTGTCTATTAAGTACGTCAGCTTTCATACAAATTGAATTCGATACTTCATGCGTCATTTATCAAACTAATCTTATTTAGACAAACTATAGCTTATATGGCACACTACTCCATTTTTAGTTGTGCTGAACAGTTGAAGGTTGAGAAACAATCGACAGTTGTGCGATAATTTTGTCAAAGGTGTACGCACGCTTTAATTTTGATTATTAAAAAGCGTATTTTCGTTTATTTCTTGATTTAAGATATGTTTTACTATTTTTTTTAGCATCTTGATCTAATCTTTGTATTTTATTTGATTGATTTTGTGTTAGAATTGAAGACAGGCGTGAAATGGAAGCAATTCCGTGTTTCGTCTGATGAGTGTGGTGCCGGAGGCCTAATTTAAGTCCCTTTCCTTTTACCACCCTTTTCTTATAAGAGGATGGGAACGGGAATTGGATTTAACGGTAGAGGAGATGCATAGGAAGGGGATATATCCTCTTTATGTGCATCTCCTCCGTCTGATAAGGGTAGGCAACGCATCTGCAATAGGCAATATGCATATGACGCCAAATTGCACCAAACTTTTTTTAAGTATACTTTATTACGATAAAAGCATTCATGCAAAGATTTTTTTTTAATATAATGTGATTTAGTGGCAAAATTTAATCATTAAAAAGTGTCTTTTTTCAAATTCCCTCGCTAAGTTCTAAAACGCACGTATGTTATGAATGGAATAGACGATTGACGTCAATTGTCTCATGACAACTCCGGTCGCGTTTTAGTCGCTCGAAAGTGGTCGTAATTTTATTTTATTATTTTTAGCTCAATGGTTGAATGTTTTCGCGTCAATTTTTTTTGTGGTTATTTTATAACAAGTAGAATCGTTTAAAAAAAGAAAAAAAATACATGCATATTCCCTATTGCGGATGTCTACGGGCAGCGGTCGGTTTGCCATTTTGGCGGATTCAGGTGGCCGCTTGCGAGTTTGCCACCTTATGTTATAAAAAAAAAAATGTCTCAATTTTTTGTGTTTTTTGATTAGCATTTGTAGATGCATGTAAAATATCCATTTCTGTTACATTTGCATCATCTTTTTCTTATAGAATTTAAAAATTAAACTTTCCTTTGATTTTTGCCCACATATTTTTTCTATATTAATTTAATATGTTCTCTTACAGATTCATCAAGCGATATCGATGTTAATATCAAATTAATTTGCCATATTTGTAATATAAAAGTACCTAAAATATTCATGAAAAATCATATAAACAGTCCTAAACATAAGATATATTTGAAAATAGCAAATACAGCAATGTCAAGAATTAATAAAAATACGAATCAAAACATTTTAATATCTAAATGTAAAAGTTCTTTACATTTTTGTGATGTCTGTGTTGTTGCTGTTGAGAATAAAATGGATCATATTTCATCAGATTATCATAGGATTGCTGTTAAAAAGGAGAAAATGTTCAAAAGTCTTGTAGAAATGTATGCTAACGATTGTGATATACATTCTGATGAATCAGAAAGTTGTGACAAAGAAAATGTTTCTACAGCTTCAGATGAAAGCTCAGATGAAGAAATATCAAATGAATTTAAAGAAATAGACGATAATACAAAAGAAGTATTAAGTAAAGAACGAGAAACTGATAATCAAGTTAAAATATTCAATGCTAGAACGAAGAGTCATGTTTTAAAATCTCTTGATGGAAAGTATTATATAATCGAAACCAAAGATGGTGTCCAAATAAAAGTGGAACGTGATAATTATCATGGTTTCAAAAAGATTGGCAAACGGAAATACGCGTGTCAATTATGCTCTAGTTTCTGTCAAAGGAAAGGTAATCACATATTAACGGAGAAGCATTTGAAGAACATTTCGAATGTGATAGGATATCATTGCATCAGAGAAGTAAGTAACGAGTTACCTTACTAAACTTTTTATTTTATAAAAATACTAGCTTATATACGACTTTATCCGCATAAAATTATAAAAAAATCATTTTATACACATTTGTCAAATTATCAATAGCAAATGTCAAAATGACATGACATGACAATCTTGCTTCTTTGATGTTGGCAGCAACTTATGGTCTCTTTCCCACATTAGGGTTTTTATCCAAAATATTTACCGCCTAAGTTTAATGGCGAGAAAATATATAGCCTAAAGCGTGACGTAAGTGTAGGGCTTTTTATTAAAAGAAGAATTATTTAAAAATGGCAACAAAGAAGTGTGTGTTTACGCTTTATTATAATAGTATAGATAATATGGGTAGCTTGGCAATGGGTTTATAATGGGTAACATGTTAATGAGTGTCGCTAACGCAAGGAATATTACTAATATTATATATGTGAAAGTTTAGATGGATGTTAAAAATGAAATGATTTTTGCAATCCGCCCAGTAATTTACGTTATACATACAAAAATACAAATCTTTTCTTTATAATATTAGTATAAATGGGTAGTATTTTTTTTTACTCAATAACTGTATTTTTTTCTACAACAGGTGGATACATCAACTACACATTGTATAATATGTAATGAATTAATTGAGAGCTACCTACTACATACAATGTGCAACGAAAAACATATAGAATTATTAAAAAACTCACTCATTCACACAGATGATCCAGATGTAAATGGAATTAAATCAAAAATCAGTATAAACAACACTATTCACGAAAAAGAACCCAACAAATCTGACGGTAGTCATAAAACTGTTGATGTGGGTAGTCTGAAATTACAAGCGAATGAAGTGAAAGTCAAACTACCGTCTCAAAATCCAGTAGAACATTTATTAGAGAATGCTAATACAAATTTGTCACAATTAAATAAAACAAACGAGATTATTGAATCAAAAGAACAAAAAAATATAATTCCAATAAACGTATCAACCAAACAAAATTCAGAATTAATATCGGAAACGTCTTTACATCCAGATTTGTACATGATAAAAACAACAAATCAAGAGAAATCTTGCTATTTCTGTGATGTACCAATACCTAATACAACAAGAAATATAAACGAACATCTAGACGGTTCCAAACATAAACAGACGGTTAAAGAAATATTAAACATTAATGGTTTATTAGTTAAAAATGGATCTACTTATTGCAAATATTGTCATAATAACATGGTAAAGGAATACCAATATTATCATATTCAACTAGAAAGTCACAAAGCAAATATAATCGCAGTTAAAAAAATAAACGTAAAAGAATCTAATATAGATAAAATAAATACATCAAAAGATATTGAAATTAAAACTAAAGAAGATTCTATTCAAGAAATAAATAATGGTACAACTGAAATAGATATCCCATCAGTAATGGAAAAAACACCGAAAGGTAATGAAATATCATGCAAAATATGCAATGTAATAGTTCCGTTAAGAACTTCTAATATTCAAGACCATTTAGAAGGGAACAAACATATGAAAAATCTAATGGAATTGTTAGATAACAATAAAATAATAATCAAAGAAACACGTAATTTTTGCGAATTATGCTCCTTTTATATACAAGATAATATGAATTACGAGCATATAATATCATACTTTCATATGAGGAAATTAGAAATTCATGAAAATAATAATAAAAATGATGCGAAATCCAAAAGATTGAAAACCGTATTTACTTACATACTAAATATATTAGAGAGTGGAAACCTTTTATGTACAGTATGCAACGTTATTATACCAAATAAAGAGTCAAATATAACAGAACATATAAACGGAAAGAAACACATATCAAAAGAAACGGATGTATTTAAAAAAAATAAATTAATAATCAACGATATGAATTCATATTGCGATATATGCTCTTTATATATTTTAAAAGGTTCAGAACATGATCATATAAAAACTAAACTACACGAAGACAATATGAATAGAAAATCTGATAAAACAGACAATATTGATCAAATACCGCAATCTAATAATTCCACTGAATATATAGGGATAGTACAAAGTACACCGCATGTAGTACGGTGTACTTTATGTAATGTAGATGTACCAGACAGTGTACATACATTAAATATGCATGTACAAGGTACAAAGCATAAATCTAATTTTAAAACATTATTCCCGAATCAATAAATATAGAGCCTTACAAATAAACACGGTATAAAACTTCGGAATAAACTGAGTATAAACAAATAGTACAGTAGAAAGTCGATAAGTTAAAGTCCAAGGGAAACACAAAATATTTTAAGTTATAGAGGTTTTAAGTTATCAAGGGTCTATGTTGTAGAGGTTTTGGTCTCTGATGGGAAGGGAACATATTATTTGAAGTTATAGAGGTTTGAGTTATCGAGGTTTTAATGTACTAAGTTTTTATACCGCGTTTATTTGTAAGGCTATTATGCTATCAAAATTAAAGAAACGATTTAAAAACAAGACATCTTAGGATAAAAACTTAGTGTAATCAATTGACATGAGAACTGGAGTCTAAATTAAACGTCGAATTGCATTAATGGCGGCCATATTGTTTTTTTTTAATTCATAACGTAGAGCATCCTGTAGTCTTGGGCTTAATCGGACATCTGCAAGTGCGCACCGTACTAGTACAATTGGGAAAACGTACTAGTACACTTTTAGTACCTTTAGTACTTTAGATTTGTGAGAACACAATACATGAATAGAATATAACGAGGGTTATATATTCACATCAAATTTTAAGCATGTTCAATAATGTTATTAGCGAAAATAAATTTAAGTTATAAATAATTTTATCCACTTTTGATTCTTATTATCGACGGTAGATACTTCAATCTGGCAAATATACAATCAAATCAAACAATGAAGAAGCGAACACTGATATCGTGTAGTGTACTAAAAGTGCCAAATGTCAGATTAACAGAAGCCGTTCGGTAACGTTACTTTTAGTACAGTGCCGAGTAATATTACTTTTTGACCGACTTCCCAAAAGAAGGAGGTACTCAATTCGTCGATATATATATATTTTTTTTGTGTGTTACGGCATAACTCCGCCGCTAGTGGACCGATTTTGATAATTCTTTTTTTATCCGAAAGGTAATGCTTGCAGGTGGGTCCCATTTCTTTGATTTATTTTTAGTACATGGTACGTGTACCAAGACTAGCAAGCATTTATAGCTAAACGTGGACCCAATACAGTCAGCATTGCAACACTTTTAGATTCCTTCTTAATTAGTTTATTTTTTTTAATATATTCTGATAGCGCGAAGTGATGTAAAAAATGTGTAGATAATTTTTAATATAATGTGATAGTTTAGATGTATGTTTATATCTTACTAATATTATAAATGCGAAAGTTTAGATGGATAGATGGATGTTTGTTAGCGTTTGTAGCCTAAACGGCTGAACGGATCTCCATGAAATTTGGCACAGGTTTAGAGCACAGTCTGGAAGAACACATAGGCTACTTTTTATCCCGGGATAAGTTACGGCTCCAGTGGGATTCATTGTTTTAGTTTTTTAATGTTTACTCGATCATTCTGCAGTGGTTCAACATATCTTATTGAAATTTGGCACAGATGTAAAGCAAAGTCTGGAGTATACATGGGATAAGCTTTATCCCCGATCAATAAAGATATTCCTATTCTTATTCTATTCTATGTTTACTGAACAGATCTCGGTGATTGTCAATGTAGAAGAAAGTCTGGAACACAGAATACTTTTTTAATTTGAGGGCGTAGTCGCGGGCGAAAGCTAGTATATAGTTATGTGACGACAGTTTTTGACTTACAAGTTTGTGATGTTAAGCGTAAATTGTAGTTTGTTTATTGTTAAGGTGTACTTGTAATTATAAAAAATAAATTAAAATACGGTTTTCTGTTTTATTTTTCCATCCTTTTATATGTCAGGACAGAAGTAAAAATAAAATTTCGACGAGAGTGAATTAAATTTTTTACCGGTACTTTCTCTGAAAGGTAACGACTTTTAAACAATATAACTGTTACTAGCGTTATTAATTTAACACTGCATTAGAGATCTCGTCAGGAATGCACGAGATCCCAATCGTTCTCATGACATTGACAGCTGTCAGCTAGGGATGTGACGTATATGCGGACAATCTAGTGTTGCATCAATTCTAAAGCATGCTACCAATTTTCTTCTTAACACAACATATCAGTTGGCAAATTTAGTGCCACCTCGTGTTGTATTGACATGTACTAAAACATTTTACAAAAAAGATAAGAACCATAATTATCAGATGGAATTGAAAACGATTTACGATTTGCAGGTTATGTTTAGTCAAATTACAAAAATAAAAAGACTAAATTCATATCTCGACGGCAACATGTAATAAGGGATAAGGGTAGGCAACGCATCCGCAATTGCGGATGTCTATGGGCAGCGGTCGCTTTGCCACTTTGGCGATTTCAGGTGGCCGCTTGCTCGCTTGCCACCTTATGTTATAAAAAAAAAACATGTAAAATGTTATGAGTTTATAATTATCGTAAAGAATGTTATTAATGGATTTATTAAAGAATATAATTAGAATAATCGTAAAGATATAGTTTATTTAAATAAATTTGATTAGTTTGATAACGCATATGACGAATTAAATTTGTTTAAAGTCAAATGCCGTACTTAATAGACAGGTATCGTAGTGATGGGAGTGGAAGAATACTTCCTGTGTGCCCACACCCCGGTGCCCGGTGAAAAGATGGAGACACTGGGGTTTTAGTTGGTATGCTCCCGCTTATCGGGAGTGAGTCCAACATAACCTCCGCGCCTTTCCCCTCTTAGGGCGCGGGGGTATGCGTAAAGCATTACCCCACTATAAAAAAAAGGTATCGTGGTGATGAAACACGCAGCGAACAATTATGAACTATCGATATTCGGTTTAAATAATTATCAAACTCAACTAAAATTATTATTTTCTTATTAAATAATTTAGAGGACAATTATATTAATTATAGTGTAGAGAATTTAGCGATGACAGAAATAATAGCGAAATCCAATTCGATTACGTACGGCTGTAGTAGTAATAAACATTTAATTACTCTCATTATTTGTAACGGTTCTTATTAATTTGAGAAAACAGTGTTTTTTATTTTAATCCGTGACCTTTAACCATGAATGTATCGATTCCAACTTCTATGAGAGTAAAAATCGAAAAGATTCATATCTGATTTTACACAACCCATCCCTACTAAATTGTCAAACTAATCAACCTTATTTAGACAAACTATAAACAGTTTTATAAAGTATCGATTTCACAGAAGAAATCTCTCACCGGGCCAGATATCGATGTCAAGCTATATTCAAATATGAACGCAATCACTTTTATCATAATAAAAACATGTTTCATGTGAAAATTGCAATGCAAACGCATAATAATTAAGACATAAAACTTTGCAAAGGTTATAAAACTGTTTACCTTTGGAGAACAAATGAATTTCAATAAACCAAAATTAAAAGAGCTGTGGTTGTCGAATCAATTGTAATAAAATCTTAAACGTGTGAAGGCTCTCGTTATATTGGTCGATTTCTCGAACGTCATCCGACAAGCCCCCACACACCTCTTTGCGAACCAAGCGAATAAAGCGCTGGTGGTTTTGTAAATAAAGAAAATAATTATTCTAACTTTAAAATAAACTAGCTGTTTCGTCGCGACTTCATCCGCAAAGAATTATGAAAATTTTATTTTATTGTTTACATTTGTCAAATTGTCAATTGCAAATGTCAAAATCTTGCTTCCCTGATGGTCTCTTTCCCACCTTAAGATTTTAATCCAAAATATTTACCCCCTAAGTTTAATGTCCTGAAGCCTAAAGCGTGAGGTAAGTGTAGGGCTTTTTATTAAAAAAAGAATAATACAAAAATATGCTGTGATTGCTGACATCTTAGGCAACAAAGAAGTGTGTGTTTACGCTTTATTATAATAGTATAGATAGTTTAGCAGTATAGGCGAACTCTAACAAATATCCATCCATGTAAACTCTCGTATCTATATTAGTAAGATGGGCGTTCCAAATCAGCATGCAATACATTTCGTTAAATAATAAAAAAGTTTTTTTTCACATTGAATACTAAAGGAACCATCATTATTATTCGTTTGTACGTTGGTAGAATATTACAGACTAGCTGTTGCTCGCGACTTTAAAGATTATTTTGAAATAGGCCCAGTAGTTTTTAAGTTATTTAAATACATACAAAATTGCAAATTTTTATTCTTTATAATATGTGTAGATTCTTTTCTAATAAATAAGCTTTGTTTTAGCGAAAGAATCTTTTAAATCGGTTCAGTGGTTTTTAAATTAATCCGAAAAAACAATTTCTCTCATTAGGAAAAGATTTTTTTATCGAAAGCGCTGTCCGCTGCATGCTACGTTGGTCAGACGAGTCTAGTCGACCGGTTTCAGTGACGTCATCGCCGGACGCATTCTCTTCGCTCCGCGGCGCGTCACGATAGTGTTGCAAGTTTAATGAATTTGCAGTAATCTTGGAACATTTTTTAAAACAAAATGTTTTTGAATATGTTTTTCCAAAATGTTATAAAAGTAAAGTAACAATGTTATAATTATTTCCGTAATAGTTGTAATTTGATTTTAGTTTGTAAACAATTAAACTAAAATATTAATCATTTTGTGTTGCTCACGACTTCGTCCGCGTGGAATTAAAAATAGTAAATTGGTAAAATTGTTGTAAAAATTGTTTTAATTTGATTTTAGTTTGTTAACAAATACTATAATAAATATTAGACATTTGCTGTTGCTTGCGACTTCATTCGTGTGGAATTAAAAAAATAGTAAAAATGGTGGAAGAATTTTTGAAACTGATAAGTAGTTTTTGAGTCATTTCAAAACGAGCAAATATACAAAGTTTATCCTAATCCTATTATTTAGGTAGAGATTTACATATTTTTGGTGAATTGCAAAACTTTTTTATAATAGGGTCATAAAAATATTTAGTTACCATTTTCTTCTAACTTATTTTATCTCTGTCTTGATTATTTAAACAGTTTTTTGTAGATGGAATATTAAAAAAATGGGAAATAAAAATCGCATGTAGTAACACACGGTATGGCGCGTCACTTCGTCAAATTTCGAACTACGGAACGCGCGTAGTAAAACGCGAACAAGACGTCGCTTATACTCGAAGTTTTAAATTATGGGAAAGTGAATTAATTGTTTTTCTCATTGTTTTAGTGAGAATATTATTGTTTGAGTTTAAGAGATTTTTTTTTAAATAGTGTATTGTTTGATTTGGACTTTATCGAAATGGCGGTGAGTATATTTATTCAGTTTGTTATTCTACATTAATATTAATTCATGTGTGGCTTTACGACCTTTGCCTTTTCGATATTTTTATATTTTTTTTTGCCCGCCCTTTTAAACGTCAATCATTTTTTAATTTTGTAAAATATAATAAAATATAAATCAAATTTCGATAAAATTGAACAATTTTCTGTTATTCGATTGATAAATTTTGGTCAGCATCCTGTGAACAAAGCGTCGCTTTGGGAACAAGTTGGTCGAATCGAGGTCATCCTGTTTTTTTAACTATCGTCCAAACAATATCCTCCATTTTGTTTTTTATTACATTTCCGTTATATTAATGTTGAATAATTTAAACTTTTTCGTTTCGTTTACATCGCTTTAATGTCTAGAAAAATTATGGAATGACGTAGTATTTGCTATAAAAACTAGTTTCTAGAATGTAACAGTTTCTCAATGGCTTTATAACGGTTTTTTTTAATAATGGAATTAAAACCATAACCTTAAGATGTTTTTAGATCGCTATTCTATAGATCGGTTACCATTTTACTTGATATTGTAACTGTAAAACGGAAATGAAAGGATTAAGCTAGGTTTCGGATTGAAAAGTCATTTTATAAATCGAATTAGACTCTTATAAGAGAGTAATATTCTTTCGCGTAAGTTACATGAATATGGGATTTTGTAAGTAAATAAGTTGTAACCTATATCTAAAACTACTGAACCGATTTTAATATAAAGATGTCATTTGATTCGTATTATCTTTATAGTCATATATCGATACAAAACATTTACAGTGGACGTGAATTTCAATTATAATTTAAAATAAACATTTAAAAAACGAACGAACGATTTCAAATCTCACTCGAAATAATACTTTTTCTTTTTTAAATAATTTTTTGCCGTATTTTTTTATTACGGTTATCGCGTCGAGTGTAAGTCGAGAGAGTCGGTGGCTTAGTGGTTGGCTTGACTTGTAATCTACAGGTCTTGGGTTCGATCTCGCTGTACCTGTGATTTTCCATTTTTCGAATTTTCATCTATACTATTATAATTAAGCGTAAACACACACTTCTTTGTTGCCTAAGATGGTTAATTACATATTTTTGAATATTTTTTTAATAAAAAGCCCAACACTTACGCCATGCTTTAGGCTATATATTATCATGCCATTAAACTTAGGTGGTAAATATTACGGATAAAACTAATGTGGGAAAGAGACCATAAGTTGCTGCCAACATCAAGAAAGAAAGATTGCTAAGGTTTGTCTTGTCATGTCATTTTGACACTTGCTATGATAACTTGACAAATATAAACACTAAAATAAAATTATAATAATTACTTGCGGATAAAGACGCACCAGAACAGCTAGTATATACATAATTTCCCCGACGTTCTTACGGTGAAGGAAAACATCGTGATGCACATATCGGCGAAGAAATTCAAAGACATGTGTGAAGTCAAGCCGCAGTGCAGGTTGACTATGACCTAGTCACTCTAACTTAGGGTAGGCTCCCACTCAGTGGGGACGTATATGATGATGAGGTTAGCTGGAATTGGGAGTTATCTTAAAACGAGGCGCACATATTTGCGTAGTTTTGTCATCAGTCGTTAGAAAAAAGATCGTAATATAATAAAATACTTTGTAAGTTCAATTGTAACAGATGTTATTTAAATATAATTACCATATGGTAACAATATGAGAATTTAATGTATGCACATATTTAATAAAGTTCGCACGACTATCTTATTTACAAAGCTTAAAATAGCATGTCCACATCCGTTCACGTTCTGTCTACCCCATGTACAACACTAGCTGTAGCTCGCGACTTCGACGTGAGAAACTAAAAAAATAATCTATACTATCTTTACTCATGTTTTAAGGATATATTATTTTTGTATGTATTGAAATAACTCAAACATTGAACCGATTTCAAAGTCTTTCACTATTTAAAAGCTACGTTATCCGTGAGTAACATAGGCTGGTTTTTATTATTTTTTTTAATTCACGTGGGCGATTTCAATGTAGGAGCTAGTAAAAAATAGCCTATGTTACTATAGTATGTCTAAATAAGATACTTTAGTTTGATAAATGGCGCATATGAAGTATTGAATTCAATTTGTATGAATAAATGCCGTACATAATAGACAGGTATCGTAGTGACGAAACACGCAGCGAGCAATTTTGAACTATCGATATTCGGTTTAAATAATTATCGAACTCAACTAAAATTATTATTTTCTTATTAACTAATTTAGAGGACAATTCTAGTATTGATTATAGTGTAGAGAATTTAGCGATGACAGAAATAATAGCGAAATCCAATTCGATTACGTACGGCTGTAGTAGTAATAAACATTTATTTACTCTCATTATTTGTTATGGTCATTATTAATTTGAGAAAACAGTGTCTTTTTTTTTATTCATAAGTTATAAATATGTATCGATTCCAACTTCTATAAAAATAAAAATCGAAAATCGATAAGATTCATGACTGATTACACAACCCATCCCTACTAAATTGTCAAACTAATCAAGCTTATTTAGACAAACTAAAAATTCATTTATTTCTAGTTGGAGTTTTCGCCGCTATGGCGGGAATCAAATAAGCACGAAATACTACGGCTATAACCTATTTAATAGATTTTAGAGGTTATCTTTTAGTAAATTATATTTTTATTACGTTGGTAACAGAAATTAAACAAACGAATAATATTTTAGTATGTGATAAGTTAATTTATATTTTATTTTATTAGTCACGCCTATATTTATTGAAGGACAATGTGTATCTATACTATCTATACTATTATAATAAAGCGTAAACACACACTTCTTTGTTGCCTAAGATGTCAGCAATTACACCATATTTTTAAATAATTCTTTCTTTAATAAAAAGCCCTACACTTACGTCACGCTTTACGCTATATATTTTCACGACATTAAACTTAGGTGGTAAATACTTTGTATAAAAACCCTAAAATGGGAAAGAGACCATAAGTTGCTGCCAACATTAAGGAAGCAAGGTTGTCATAGTCATGTCATTTTGACATTTGTAATTGATAATTTGACAGATGTAAACAATAAAATGCTAAATTCATGCGGATGAAGTCGCACGGGAACAGCTATTCCTAGTTCCCTACATTTACATGCTTTAGGATATACTAGCTTTCGCCCGCGACTCTGTCCGCGTGGTATTGAAAAACGTACGAACTATTTAAATAACAAAAAGCTACGTATCCCGGGAACCGGACATTTCTCGGGAATGAACCTCATCCCATGTGTACTCCAGGCTTTGTTTTATATCTGTACCAAATTTTAAAAGGATATGTTGAACCGTTGCAGAATGATCGAGTAAACATTAAAAAACTAAATTAATTATTCCCACAGGAACCGTAACTATTCCCGGGATAAAAAGTAGCCTATGTGTTCTTCCAGACTATGCACTAAACCTTTGCCAAATTTCATGGAGATCCGTTCAGCCGTTTAGACTACAAACACTAACAAACATCCATCCATCCATCTAAACTTTCGCATTTATAATATTAGTAAGATGTATATTTACGGTTTCTTAGGGGGTAAATGAATTGGAAAAAAACAAAACCGACTTCCAAACAAAATACACGAAAAACAAAACAAAATGCACTAAAAACAAAACAAAATACACCAAAAACAAAATAT